TGATCTGGAAAACGCTCCTCTCTTATGGGCACTGCATGGTCTGGTCAGTTCCTCAGGATGCCCCCTTTAGTCTCAGTTCTCCACAATCACAAAATCCAAATCTCAAATCTCCCGGCGCCAGCAAACCCGAGGAACTCCTTTCCCTGGTCAGGGTCTGTGTCTGTCCCAAGAGACGAGGCTGTCTGCCATGCGGTCTCCCTCCGACCCTCTGGGCTCAGGTCTGGCAAACTTTCCTGCCCAGATCCCTGCTTTTTAACCTTTCCAGGGGAGCTCTGCCCTTCCCGGCTGCAAACCGTCTCACCAGCTGAGTAAATTTGCCAATTCAGGGTGGGTGTTATTAGTTTCAGCTGCTTACTCCATTTGCTCCGGGACAAGACCTGGGACGCGTCTGCCTATATCGCCGCCATCTTGCTTCTCCTCAGCTTCATAGATATTTTATTTGTCCCTTGCATCAATCACAGAGTCTAACAGGAAAATACAAACTCTCTAAGCTTTTGGAGCAAAGGAAATTTAATCCAGGGGATTAGTTATACAACTGGTAGAAGAGCTGAGAAATCAAAATGGAAGAATGGTCAACAGAAAGCTATGGGAGGGAGGGACCAAGGGTGAACTCATGTGCTGAGTCACTGGGTAGGTAGAAGCTGGACCATGGCTTGTCTGCTTGGTGGGTGGTGGTCATGGGAGATGCAGCTACTGGCAGAATTGCTTTCCAAGATAGTGACAGCAAAATACTCAGCTTTTCCCTTGCTCCCACACTCCACTCTCTTGCTGGTCTCCCCCAGGTTAGGAATCCAGCAGGAAGCAGTAGCAAGGGAACTGGTAAACAAGGGTGAAAGGGTCTGTGGACAGAGATAAAGGGCAGAGCAGAGCAGGAAACCCTAAGTAATGAATTGCTGAGTAAACCACTCAGGACCAGTGCACCCCCCCCTTCCCCATGGTGAACCTCCTCTGCTCATTATTGATTCCATCAACCCATCCCACTCTGTTCCCTCAATAGTTATGAATAATAGATAAGTATTTTTTTCATTGCAGTTCAGGTTTTTTCATTTATTACTATTTTTCTATGGAAAGCAACTTATGTAAAGACTAGTGGCCTGGTGCATGAAATTTGTGCATGGGGTGTTCCCTCAGCCCAGCCTGCACCTTCTCCAATAGGGTACCTCTTGGGGGATGTCTGATTCCCTGTGGGAATCGGGCCTAAACCAGCGGTTGGACATCCCTTTTGCAATCTGGGACCGCTGGCTCCTAACCACTCACCTGCCTCTGCCTGCCTGCCTTATTACCCTAACCTCTCTGCTTGCCTGCCTGATCACCCCTAACTGCCCTCCCCTGCTGGCCTGATCTTGCCCCCAACTGCCTCTGCCTGCCTGATCACCCCCAACTGCCCTCCCCTGCTGGCCTGATCTTGCCCCCAACTTCCCTCCCCTGCCAGCCTGATCTCACCCCCAACTTCCCTCCCCTGCCAGCCTGATCACCCCTAATGGCCTCTCGCTTGGCCCCCATCACCATGGCTTTGTCTGGAAGTAAGTCAGAAGTCCAGAAGATGGTTGGCCGACCTGATCTAATTAGCATATTACCCTCTTAGTAGTATAGATCGATTATATAGAATAGGGTTGCTTAAATGCGGGGGAGGGGGAAGCCTTTTTCATCAGGAGGAAATGCTCTTGGCAGACAAAAATACATAATCCCTATAACTGGACTGATAGCCATATGCACTATACTGCCAAACTGGTCATTAAAAAATTGAACCACTTTCTTACACCTTACACCAAACAGCTGTTGCCCTTAAAACCCCTCCTCAGCCCCCACTTTAGGTTCTGCCTTCGCAGTTCACCCAGAGTTGGTTCTGATTGGTTGGTTTCTATGCCAGTCAGTGTCAAAAGCTCCGCCTCCTAGGCAGCCATTGGCTCCTCACACTTCACCCAGATTGGTGCTGATTGGTCGGTTTCTATTCCAGTCAGAAACTCCGGGCCTATTAATGGGCCTGATCAGGGCGGAAGGGCTGATCAGCAGTCCCAGTGGAGGCCAGAGAAAAAGAGGTGTGGCTGCTGGCCAGGCCCAGAGCAAAAGAGAGAGGCAAGTGCTGATCAACAGTTGTCACAGAGGCTACGGATCAGACCCTGCTTCCCTCTCCCCAGGCCTGACCCACAGCCCCCTCAGCAGTCAGTGCTGGATGGGCCTCCTGCAGCTGAGGCAGTCAGTGCTGAGTCACCACAGCAACCCAGCACTGACTTCCGGTTGGTCGAGCCTCCAGTCCTTGTGGATGTTATGGAGCCTGGGTTTTTGTATATTAGGATGATTTAGAAATTAATCCCCCAAATTTTAACATAGAACCAGGGACTTTGTTTATGTTTTGTGCCACATCCACAGTTCCTTAGAGCCTCCTCTTGGATTGGGGGATGTGACATAGCCTTTCCCTCAGTGATTCATGTCACATTCAACCATCCCTGTTGGGTCAGACTCTTGGACATATTTATTGGTGGTTTGTTGCATCATTTGGGTTATAATGTCATTGTCCCTGCTTCCTATACTTTATACCAGTGTGCGCATACACACACACACACACATACACACACTCTGAATGTCTTCTCTGCTCATTACTCATCATGATTCTTTCCTCTCTCCTCTCCTGATCCCACCAGCAGCACTGATAGATGACAAGCTAAGAATATGAACTGATGCATGTTGGATATTTCATATTCTTAAATGCTAACTTTTTGACTATATGTGAAAGACTTTTTAAAATAAAAATGCATTACTAATTTTGAATATCCTGTCTTAAATAACACATTCCAGTACAAGCTACATAATAATGACTTCTATGATGTTTTTAGAGCAGCTCCAGGCCTGTGCTCCAGAGATGATGGGAGAGGGTTTGCTTAGGAAGCACATGGCATCTATGGTTTTGTGTGAAGGACCCAACAGGTGAGAAACCCTGGCCCAGCGGGAACACACACATCACCCTTACCCCACCACTCTCGCTGCAGTGCTGGCCACCACTGGACCTGATGTCAAAACAAGGCTGAAGCCAAATTCAAGCAAGACAGAGGCAGAAAACTGGGAAGCCAGGTGCATGGGCATTAGGTCCAGGCCCAGGCTGTCAGGAGCTGGCAGCAAGTGCATTTAAGGAGTATGGAAGGAGCAACTCTCCCAGGCAACCAGAAAAATGAAGACTCTGTTAACGAAATCCTTGGAGGAATTGACAATGACTATTCTGGGCAACTAATCCTAAAAAGAGGTAGCCCTCTCACCACAGCACCTGCCAGATGGGACAAGAACAGCAAAGGATCACAGAACGGTCAACAGGAACAGACTAGTATTATTTGATGGATAGGGATCCACTTCTGTCAGCCTTTGATATGAGTTGTCACTGGTTCCTGGGGAAAGACCTTAGAAGTTTATTTCAGATATTAAAGTATGGGCTGTGACATTCTTATTATAAAACTAGAGGTCTGTTGCATGAAGAGATTCATGCAATAGGCCTTCCTTTCTCCTGGCTGCTGGCACCAGTTTGCCTCCGGCACCAGTTTGCCTCCGGCATCCAGGGACCAGGCCTTAGCTCTGGCCGACTTGCAGGGATGTGAGGCCTCACTGCTCCGCTGGCCCTGGGTCAGTGAGGCCTTGCTGCTCTGCCGGCCCCAGAAACATCCGGCCTCCCTGCTCTGCTGACTCCAGGGGCCGTCAGGCTTCACTCCACTGCTTGGAGCCTATGTATGGAAATTAACTGCCATCTTTGTTGGCGGTTAATTTGCATATTATGCTGATTAGCCAATGGGAGGTGTAGGGAAGGTATGGTCAATTACCATGTTTGTCTATTATTAGATAGGATAGGACTTGAAGATCCCCTTCCCCCAGGTATCAACAAAGCCCATTTGGAACTGGAGGATTCCACCCTACACTTGCCATCAGCTGCCACCTGACTTCAGTCTTGCCATCTCACTGAGATAACGAGCAAATAGCTTTTCTTGTCACCCATAGCTATGGGGAACTGGTTGCTGTCCTTGAAGCTTTCTTTGATTGGTGGGTTTCCCTTACCTCCTACAAAGTTATGTCTCCTTGCCCCCAACCCCTTCACACCACATCTTCTCTTCGAATGTCTGTTTCTCTCTCTTTTTGGCCTTTTTATGAGGTTATGTCTGATTCTCCTAGTATTCTTTTTTCTGTATCTTTCTCTCTGAACATGTTTTCCTTTTTTGACTCAATTTTCTCTTTTCTATGAGATTATCTGGGTATGTATAGGGTTAAGCATTCAGGCTCTGGGTTCAGAATGCCTGGGTTCATCCTGCTCATTTGACCCCAGGACAACTACATACGTGGCCTCTCAAGATTTCAGTCTCATTTTCTGCAAGTGAACAGAGAGTGATACTTCCCCCTAAGGGCAGCTGTGAATACTAAGCTCACAACTGCCAGAGTAAATGTTCAATAAGTGAGCTCTTAGGAATATGGTTGTTGTTGTTGTGTCCTTTACCCCATTCTTCTGTCTTTCATTTCCCCTCTTTCTTCCTGTCTCAAAATACCCACATCTTCCTGCACATCTTACCACTTCCTCTCTTCCCTCCCTATATGACACCTTAACTATTCCTGCTCTTGAACAACATCCCCCACATTTAAATCAGCCCCTTTATCTGTCATCCAGGATCTCCTTCGTTGATCTTGGGCCCATAGTTCTTCATCTTTCACAGCTTTCACACTGATATGCTTCTGCAGGGTCTCCCTCTAAAGCACAGTTACTTTCAGGTCAGCATTGTCTTTAAATTTGGTTCCCTGGTACACTGGGTTCCTGTTCCTCTGTCTGGCTATTGGGCTAATGGTGTCTTGTCATAGCTCCTCCTCCAGGCTCAGTCCCTGCTCATACTTTCATACAAACAGCCCTCTCTGCCTTCTCCATGATCCTCAACAGGTTTTCCCTGATTCCCAAACTCCACTTAGGACTCAGGCACAATTACCATTCTCCTTTTCTGTTAGCAGAAGAGAATCAGTTTCAATCTGTTTGCAATTACCTTGTTCAAGGCTCTGTTGGATATCAGGTCTCTCCTCATTATCTTCTCCATTACTTCTTAGGAACTGTTGTATGTTTGGTATCACTGAAGAGAGGGCATAAGAAGACTATTAGAGAGTGGTGTCATCATCTCAAATTGCACTGTTAGGAATTTCCACCCCTTGTGTCACTCAGTGCTTAGTGGGTCCCAATCTTGTTGGTAAAGTTCACCCTTCATCTCTGGGACAGAAAAGAGACTACCCAACAAAGGGGTTACTTATGCTTCTCACACATAAAGGAGCTACTCAAATCTCAGGATAAACAAGTTGTGGCAACAGTGTTAGCCTGTTACTCTAGCAAAAAATTTCAGCTGCCCAAGATAGCATATAGCAAAATAAATAATGTACTATTTATTTTGAAATGTGTTTGCTGAACTGATGTAACTGAAAGGAAAAACAGGGATTTCCTTGGGAAGAAAACAAAGATCCTATATAAGTTTACATGTATAAAGAGGAAAAAACACAAAAGCTTTAAAAATGTGGCTGGACAAGAAAAGGTTTTGGCTTAACTGAGTCAGGGAAGATGAGTGCTTTGCAAAGAGACAAATCAGAGGACACAGGTGATCCAGAGGCACCCAGATCCCAGGACAAAGGAAGGATACTCCCTGAAGCTGCAAGCAAGGACTGAATATTGAGGCATTGGGCCAGGGACCTGGGAGGTTGCCAAAGAAGGGAGAACAGGGCACCAGCCCAGGGACCCTGCATGTAGGTAACCCAGCAAACATATGAAGGAAGTTAATACACCAAAAATCCTTAGGGTAGATCTCTGCAGAAGGTTGGGGGAACAGACTTAGGGAAGCAGTGAGCCTGTATGCCTCAGGGCTGATGGAAGAGTAACTCCTAGGCAATAAACCTTATAAATGTTATAAATCTGTATCATCTTTTTACTCTGTAGTAAATAACATCAAATTCCTTAGCTTTAGAAGCCATACCTTCCAAAATGTTTTTTCACACTTATCCTTTTTTTAAAAAAAAAAATTATTGTTGCGAGTATTATAGATGTTTCCCCATTGCCTCCTCTACCTGGTTTCTGCTCCACCCAAGCCCGTCATCACCTTATTGTTTGTGTTCATAGGAAATGCATATATGCACGTGTTCTTTAGTTATATCTTTCTACCCCCTCTCTCTTTCCTCCACTCTGAGATTCATCAGTCTGTTCCCTGTTTCCATGCCTCTGGTTCTATTTTATTTATCTGTTAATTTTAATTATTAGATTCCTTGCTCATTTATTTTGACTTTTAGATTCAATTGTTGATAGGTGTGTATTTATTGCCATTTTATTGTTCATATTGTTTATTTCTTCTTCTTCTTCTTCTTCTTCTTCTTCTTCTTCTTCTTCTTCTTCTTTTTCTTCTTCTTCTTCTTCTTCTCCTCCTCCTCCTCCTCCTCCTCCTCCTCCTCCTCCTCCTCCTCTTTCTCCTCCTCCTCCTCCTTCTTCTTCATTTGTTTTGCTGCTTTTAAGATTCTCTCTATTTTTTTTTAACCTTTGGCATTTTATTTTTTTAAAAAAATATATTTTATTGAGTTTTTACAGAGAGGACGGGAGAGAGAGATAGAGAGTTAGAAACATCGATGGGAGAGAAACATCGATTAGCTGCCTCCTGCACATCTCCTACTGGGGATGTGCCCGCAACCCAGGTACATGCCCTTGACCGGAATCAAACCCGGGACCTTTCAGTCCACAGGCCGACACTCTATCCACTGAGCCAAACCGGTTTCGGCACCTTTGGCATTTTAATTATGGTATGGTGTGGGCCTCTTTGGATTCTTTTTTTAAAAATTAAAAAAATTAAAATTTTTTTTTTTATTGATTTCAGAGAGGAAGGGAGAGGAAAAGAGAGGTAGAAACATTAATTATGAGAGAGAATCATTGATTGGTTGCCTGCTGCATGCCCCACACTGGGGATCAAGCCTGCAACACTGGCATGTACCCTGACTGGGAATCGAACTGTGACCTCTTGGTTCATAGGTCAACACTCAACCATGGAGCCCTATTGGCCAGGCTGGCTTCCTCTTGTTTGGGACTCTCTGCACTTCCTGGACTTGTAAGGTGATTTCTTTCACCAGTTAGGAGATGCTTGCTGTCATTATTTCTTTAAATAGGTTTTAAATATCTTGCTCTCTCTTTTCTCCTTCTGGTAACCCCATAATGCAAATGTTGGTACACTTGAAGTTGTCTCAGAAGCTCCTTACACTATCTTCATATTTTTGGATTCTTTTTTCTCTTCTGTTTGGGTGTTTTTTGCTTCCTCATATTCTAAATTATTGATTTGATTCTCAGAATTCTCTACTCTACTGTTGAATCCTTATAAATTATTCTTTATTCCAGTAAGTGCATGTTTAATTTCTGACTGGCCATTTTTCATGTCTTTGATGTTCTCACTAAGGTTCTTGAATTCTCACTAAGATCCTTGAAAATCTCACTAAGTTCCTTGAAGCTCTCATGAAGATCCTTGAGCAACCTTATAACCATTGCTTTGAACTCTGTATCTTGTAGTTTGCTTGCTTCCATTTCATTTAGTTCCTTTTCTGGAGATTTCTCTGTCCTTTCATTTGTGACATGTTTCTTTGTCTCCACATTTTAGATTTTTCCTTGTGTTTGTTCTTATATATTAAGGTAGAGCTCTTATGTCTCCTGGAATTGGTAGATGGCTTTGTGTAGTAGGTATCCTCTAAGGTCGAGTGGCTTAGCCTCCCTGTCACCTGAGCTGAGCACTCTAGGTACACTCTTGTGTGGGCTGTGTGCACAGTCTTGTTGTAGTTGGAGTCAGTGGTAGGAATTGACTCCCAGGCCAGTTGGCTGTGAGGACCTGCTGTGAATACAGTGGAAGAGCTACTGTGCAGCAGACACCTCTATGGAGCAGGACTTGCTTCAGTGAGGCTTTGGTGCTCACTGTGTCTGCCCCTTGAGTGTGTTGCTTTGGGATGAGTAGTGTTGTAATCTGGTATGGTCTGAAGCTGTCCACCAGGTGAACTGTCTCTAGGGCTTCCTGGGAGGTGCAAAGTCAGCCACTCCCTGGGCCACTCATCAGTAGCTATAGAGAAATCTGCAGATGGCTGCTACTTGTTCCCAGGTGAGGCCAAGCTGTCTGTGAACTCTTATTGATAGGTATGGGGCATGATGTCCCAGCTGCTGCTTATTTGAAAGATTTTAGGAAAGTCTGAAGCCTGAAACAGGACAGACCATTCATATGAAAAGGCCACTGCAAACATCTTGGTGGGGCTTTAGATTGGATGGGGGGGGGGGTGATGGTGGTGTCTTAGGGAATCATTAGGGTGGAGCGAACAGTGGGAGCCAGGCTGATATAAACTCAGATATGGCTGCCAGTGAGCTCTACAACTGGGGAGGTCTCAGCATAGGAACAATGACCCCTTTAGAGCACCACTGTCTGGGAAAAAGTTCCCCCCAGGTTTTTGCTCCAATGCCAGACAATCCAGTTCCTCCCCATATGTTTCTGTACCCCTCTCTATCCCCCCTCCCCCAGAAATTGCCCCAGTGCTGGAGCTCAGAGGGAGTATGCCCAAGTAAGTCTATGTACTGGCCCTTTAAGAGAAACTTTTGGGGTCTCCAGCAGCCTTTGTTTCATTCAGCCACAATCCCCACTGATTTTCCCAGCCAGAAGTTATGGGGGCTTCTCTTCACAGCTCTGAAACCCTGGGATGGGGGTATGGTGTGGGGCTGGGACCCCTTGCTCCTCATGGGAGGCCTCCACAGCTGAGATATACCCCCAATTAAAACAATGCTACATGTGGGTGTCAGGACAGCCCCTTCCATGTCTCTGCCCCTTCTGCCAGTCTCAATGTGCTTTCTTCCTTAATTCTCTAGTTGTAGGACTTCCATTCAAATTTCAGGCAGTTCTGAATGATGGTTGTTCTGTATTTTAGTTGTAATTTTGATGTGGTTGTGGGAGGCAAGGAGTACCAGCATTTACTTATGCTGCCATCTTGGATTTACATGCTTATTCTTTTTGAATCGACTTGCAGTCTTCTTCTCACTCTGAGATTAATCTAGTTTGTCCTTGTTCAGCAGACACAGAGATCATTTACGTCTCTATGTTTGTTCCATTATCATCTGCATTTCTCAGTTCATATCAGTTTTGTTTTGAATTCTCCATAATTATTTGGAGATCTTTTTGAGACCAAAAATATATAGAATAAAATTTTTTCTAGCAAGTCAAACAAAAATTATTGGAGGACATCTTCTTTACTAAGAACCTATATAAAAGTATAAAATCATGCATTTTCAGGAAAGAAGCAGAGAACCAAACCAGTAGTTTTGTATAGTATCCAAACATCTCTCTGGCAGAGCAATTGGTTTTATGATTTTTTGATTGTTTATCACACTTGTTATGGAGAATGAGTTAATAAAACCATTTCTCCTTCTTCAAGGACAAATTTGACCTGACTTTTTTGCTCATTATTCTGGAAATCTGATGAAGGTGGCCTCTTGTCTGTGTTAGTAGGCCGACACTGAGCTTAGTGTTTTTAAAATGACCAGTGACTGTAGGTAGACAAATTGCATGTGGCCTGAGAGGGACTAGATGTGAACTACAAGCCATTTTTTGTCTTCCTCCAATGTATTGACTCTTGTAATTCAGCTGTCCCGGTGGGGTCTCTGAAGGTTATGACTACAGAATTATTACATGAGATATTGACTCCCCTGGGCATGTTGTGGCTAAAGAAGTGTGGATCCTGCAACTCAGATGTAACTTGAGGTGGGTTATAGTTAACTTGGTAGACTGCCATGAGGACCCCTGCTAAGTGTCACAAAGAAGAGCAACTGATGCAGGCCTGTTGAGATGTTGTGTTTACTGTTATTTGTCCTTCTAAGAAAATCTGAATCCATTGTGGCTCTGGTTGTCCTGAGTCAAGATACCTAGTTACTCAAACCTGCAGGTTGGTGTTTGAACTGTAGCCATTTTATGATAAGCTTTGAGTGGCTAATGTTATATTTGTTTTCTTATCTGCAACATCCCAACTGCCCTGCACTGTGCCTGACACCTGGTACAGTCAATATATACCTGTGGGGAAAAATTGGCCCTGGACATAAAAAAGTAGGTAATAAACCTAATTACCTTCTTTTTTAAATCCTCACCTGAGATTATTTTTCCATTGATCTGAGAGAGAGAGAGAGAGAGAGAGAGAGAGAGAGAGAGAGAGGAAGGGAGAGATGAGGTGAAGAAAGAGCGAGAGAGATCTAAGAGAGACATTTTGACTTGTTTCTTCCTGCATGAACCCCGACTGGGATCGAACCAGCAATTGAGGTAGGTGCCCTTGACCAGGTATCAACCCATGATGTTTTAGTCCTCAGTCCAAAGCTCTAACCACTTGGCAAAAGCAGCCAGGGCCCTAATTACCTTTTTTGAAGACTTTATAAATATCATTCAAACCACGGTAGGTGTCCATGATGTCCTTCCTGAACAATGCTTCCAGAAGGGACAGGTTAAATGACTTCTCCACTTCATCGAGAACATGGTATATGACTTCTTTTTCATAACCCGGTGTTTTAAAAGATTCTTTAGACTTCTTAAAAAATAATGAATTGGGAAAATATAAATACAGATTTCCTAGTTACAAAAGAGCCTTAGAAAGTGATTTTATAGTTAATGTATTACAATTTCCCAACACAGTTATCTTCTCATGTACAGTTTTATTTTGTTTTTTAATATTTTTTATTCATTTCAGAGAGGAAGGGAGAGGTAGAGAGAGATAGAGACATTGATGATGGGAGAGAATCATTAATAGACTGCCTCCTGCATGCCACCTACTGGCGACCAAGCTCGCAAACTGCACATGTGCCCTTGACCGGAATTAGAACAGGGACCCTTAGGTCCACAGGCCAAAGCTCTATCCACTGAGCCAAGCCAGCTAGGGCCTCATGTACAGTTTTAGAATTTGTTGATATTATTATGACTAGTAGTTAAATAACTCAATCCGTCTTCCTTGAAAATTACCATATGTGAATCTGATTTCCACAACCTCATTTCTATTAGATAGAATAAGAAGCAATTATGAAGAACAAATTGGGTGAAAGCTAAGTGTTTTGTAGCCCTTTCAGAGCCTGGTCAAATATTTTAGGAATAGACTTAGCAGGCTATGAGCTGCTGTTCTATGGACTGGTCAGCCCTTGTCCCTCCCCAAGGACTGACTTGGCCTGGAAGCTCCTGTGAACTTTGACATAAAGAAAACCTATGGGTAGGGAAAGTGAAAACCTGCACCTCTATATCTCCACCTACACTTTTTGCTAAAATTAATCTAAATACCAAGAAAAAAAATGGAAAGGAAACTGAAAACTGTTGTTAAAAGAATAGCAAGAATCTACTTTCAAATTTGTCCTAAGAAGACATTGATTCTCTGTGGATTTTAATGTTTAAAATTGATCTAAGTATTTAAATTGATGTTCATTGAAATGAAATGCTGTATCAATTATTATTTCAATAAATGAAATCATTCAACTTATTCATCCATTCATTAAAATTACTTTTAATTTCCATTTTATACTATATTGTGTATATCATTCCTACAAGGCATTAAACATCTATGTAGCACACCCAATTCACATCCAGCCTACCACCAGTGCTATTAACCCCACTAAAGGGGATACCACGGAGCACTGTTCCTTCAGTTAGGAGAAGAACTGTCTTCAGTAATGCCTGTTTATCTTCTCCATTCTGACCTTATAAGAGCACTTACAGCAGTACTTGAGAGGGTCCCCACTCATAAGCGTCTCCTCAGTTCCCCAGCTGTGTTCTGATGTTTGATTCCAGGATATCAAAATATAACTTAGTTTACCAGATTGTAACATAATAAACTTTACCTACTTCATACATTTCATTGTTGATGAATCCATAGTCACGGAGAAGTTCAAGGAAAGGAAATGCTACTTTTATTATATTTGAAATTGTGACCTTCTCTCTTTTGAAGTGGCAGAGTGCAATGTCATAGATACGCTTTTCTTCTTCAGACATCCTAGGGAGAAAGGACACAATGAAAAAATTTTGATATGCCTGTGGATGCTGTAACATCTTATAAATGAAGCATAGTTAATGAAGAACCAACACATAAAAAATACATGTCCCTTAGTAAAGATTAGAACAAATAGAAATGAAACAATAGACAAAGCTGTAATAAAATGAAGCATAAAGGATTAGAAAAACATAAGTAATATTGAAAAGTTCCAGTCTGTTATGATCAAAACCATTGTAAAATTATTGTCTCCTAACAGATCTGGAATTTTTATGAAACAATTTTAATTTGTACTAAAGTGAGATAGACTAAACTGGCCACCCACAGAGGAAAATAAAACAATGGATTAATAATGGAATGTAAGCTTAAAATGCATTTTAATTAACAACTAAGAGAAAATAAATCTGAAAAAGATAAAAACAAGGTGCTCCCTTTTTGACCTACCGCAGTTAAGAGAAATACCATCTTGACTTACAAAGCTAGTACATAAATGGAAAGATGTAGTTTAATAATGATATGATAAGACGTAAACTGAAATTTCACAAGAATATCTATCATTTTTTCCTAGTATTTCTGGTTTGTGTTAATTTTTATCTATCTGTGCTATTGTTGCATGTAATGAATCTTTTTAGGCATCTGAATTTCAGAAGTGGCTGCTGTTTCCTTTGAAAGTAGTTGTACTAGTAAACCTGAGTCTGTAATTTTGCTTCTTAGTTGATCTTTTTTATTTCTCTGATAATAATGTTTTAGTAGATATTTTGTATTCCTGAAAATCATGAAGACTCATTATTGGTGATTTCCAGTACCCAATATTCATCAGGATATATTAATGTCACCTTATTATGTCAAATTCTATAAACTAAGCATTCTTTTTAAAGATAGGTGATTGAAGAGACTCATCTGTCTTCTCTTTTATGAGAATTGCTACTAAAATGAAAAATAAATAATTGGTTTCACAATGATGAAGAGAATGGCAGGGGGCAATGAGTAAATGAGAGATTTCTGCAACAAAAAAAATGGTCAGGGGAGCATTAAATGCTTTGTAGGATGAGCATGCTCCCAGCAATCAGGAAAGCAACCAGTGTGTCCTGTGGAATCTTGAAGGCAGAGGAGATTGAAAGGGAGACATGTTTCTGAAACTATCATGTTATTTGATAAATGAAGAGCAGGGCAATGTACCCTTCACCCCTCAATTTGCATCCTGACCAGGTGAAGTCAAGCAAATATTATTTTCCTTTCTACCACCATATGTTCCTGTTGCCTGTGATTGGATTTCATAGATCAATAATATATCATGTATGCTATATGCCTTGCTCATCATCCAAGTTGTTGGGTGATTAGAAGTTTGTTCCTCTTATTGTTCAGTGGTATTCCATTGTTGTGTCTACTACCATCTGTTTATTCATTTTCTTGTTGAAAGAAGTTTTGGTTGATTCTAGAGGAAGACAAGTGTGAATAAAGCTGCTGTTCTGGTATGAATATTTCTGTAGCATGTTCTCATTTCCCTTGAGGAAATAATCAGGAGTGTAATTGCTGGCTCACTGTGTAGGAGTGTCATTAACAGTTTTGGAAGCAAACTGTTTTAAAAATTTGTTAGAAATAGCCTTGCTAATGTAACCATTCTAGTGTGTGATGTGGTATCATATATATAAAATTTAAATTCTTTATTGTTGAAAGTATTATATACATCTGCTTCCCCCCCCATTGACCTCTCCCCAGCTGCTCCCACTCCCAACACATGCCCTCAGCTCCCTACTCTCTGTGTCCATTGGTTATGCTTATATGCTTGCATACAATTCCTTTGGTTGATCTCTTACTTGTCCCCTCCCACCCTCCCCTGCCTTCCTTCTGAAGTTTGTTATAGTTTCAATTTCTATTTCTTTAATGACTAATGATGTTGAACAGAATTTCATATTCTTATTAGAAATTCATATACCTCCTTTTGTGAAGTGCTTGCTCAGGTCTTTGGCCCTTTGATATTATTGGGCTGTCTTTTACTTATGGATATGTAGAAGGTTGTTTTATCTTGCAGATAGAAGTATTTAGTTTAATATATGTATTGTGAACATTTTTTCTCAGTTTGTGGCTTGCCTTTCATTTTCTTAACCATATCTATTTTTTTCAAACATTTTTTTCTGAAAGTATTACATATGTCCCCTTCCCTCCCCCTGCCACCATTGACCTGCCCCTGCCTGTCCCTGCCCCCACTTCCTGCCCCAGGCCTTCAGCACCCTACTGTCTGTGTCCATGGGTTATGCATATATGCATACAAGGTCTTTGGTTGATTATCTTCCACCCACCCAGCCTCCCCTCATTCCATCTGAGATTCCCCACTCTGGATCCACTCTGTTCCTCAACTTATTTTGTTACTTAGATTCCACATATGAGTGCGATCATGTGATACTTGTCTTTTTCCTACTGAGGAGAGATTTTTAAATGTTTGATGATTTCCAATCTACCCATTCTTTCTCTTTTGTGCTTAATATATTTAGCATGCTATCTATGAAATATCTTTCTACCCCAAGTTTATGAAAATATTAAAAAACCAATGGGTCTTAGTTTGAATAATCTATTCTGCATAACTGATTTGTCTATCTTAATTGGCTTGATAACTATAGCTTATAGAAATCTTGAATTCAACTGGAAAAATATTGTCTTGACTTTCCTAGGTCTTTTGGTTGTGCACATGCCTTTTAGAATCCATTTGCCCATGTGTATAAGAAAAGTCATTTGGATTTTATTAGATTTGCATTGTATCTATAGGTAAATTTGGTGAGACCTACATTAATATTTTTGAGCTCCAATTTTTAACATTGTATCTATCTCCATTTATGTAATTGTTTTAATTTTAGCTGGCAGTGTTTATAGCTTTCACCCAGGTGAAGACACCAGTGGATAAAATACTTGCCAATTCAAAGGAAAATCCATTTCAAGAATGCAAAAGGCTATGTATGCCCTGGCCTAGAAGTGGGTTCACGGAGCGCTCGGTGCTTGCA